GTAGGGTCTTTCTAGAGCACATTGCACAGGATTGCATCCAGATGGTTCTGGAATATTTCCAGTGAAGGATATTCTACAACCTCTCTGGGAAATCTGTTCCAGTGCTCAGACGTGATTCTCACATCTAAACATTAAATCATCAGTAGTAATACAAGACTACATTAAGGATTGATCATACCACTCAGACACTCAGAAATATTATCTGTCCCAAAAAACAATTTAAAAAGAAAGCTCCTCTGGAATGTCAGCAGAGACTGGGAGCAGGGACACTGGATAAAAGGCAAAGCAAGGCAGGAGCACGCAAGTTGGCTTAATAAGGAACCCAAAGGCTTTAGAGGAGAAAGTCATATTTAAACCAGCTGGGAAGTGCCTTTTCAAATGCAGATTTGAATTAATGCCAAGCCAGTACTGGAGTGATTACAGAGGTCTTTAACACTCATGGCTTACTCACTTGTCAACTGCTTTCCAAATTTATCATTGATACACCCCAGCAACACAACATTCAGTCTGTCTCTGGCACTGAATCTGATGATGTCAGAGGGAATTCAAAGCATCCTTTTTTAAGCATATTTTTCTAAAGATATAATTTCCTCCCTTTCTTATGTTAATGAGACATCAACCCAGCAGCATCCAGAGTCTTGCTAGAAAGGGTGCCCAGCACTGGGCTGAGTTTGGCAGAGCATTTCTGAGTCAGGAGTTTAAGAGGTTCCTGGAATTGTTGCTCCCTGACAGCCTGCAATATAAATCATGAAGGATCCAGGAGAGAAAACCAGCAGGAAACTGGACCCCAATCAGAGCTAACCATCCGTTAAATAAGGCTTTTATTTAGACAAATGGAAAACAATTGCATTAAGAGCTTCTGCGGAACTGCATTTAGGTCTTCTCTGTAGGACAGAAGTCTAGAAATGTAATTTTATTTTGAAATAAATTATGGGATTTATCACATATGCATAAGAAGCTAAAAATACCTAACAATTTTCTCTGAGACCCTGGCAAAGAAAAAAAGTCATATGACACAGCAAACTGAAAACTCTCTTTCCCTTCCTTCCCAAAAGTAACAGATTCTAAAGTTCAGATGAGTTCACGAGATAAATAATCAATACCAACCTGGGAAAAGATTTTGTCAAAGTTACTGATAAAGGAAATGAAAAATATGCATATTTCTGGATATACAAAGAATAAGGAAACAGTTTTACATCTCATCTCCATAGAAGTTCTTACGTTCTTACAGAGAACTCCCAGGGATCTCCCTTGCAGAGGGTTTAGGTACTGTGAGACTCTGGTCAATGCAGTAACTACACAAATATATAATTGTTCATAAAACTAGGAAAGAGCCTAGGGACTTAATTTGACAAAAACATTATTTGACAGGTAGGAAATGGAGTAAATCAACATTTATCTGAGGAGAAGGAAGCAGAAACCAAAATACATGTTTTATAACAGTAAATAATAAAACTGATGAATTATACAACTGCAGAATATTACAGCTGCCCCATTTTTACTTACCTAAGTTGAAATCTCCCCTCTCTTTCTTTCTAC